TTTAAATCAAGTGTTCACATTTTTTAAACATACATGTTACCACTTTGCTTTCATTTTAGCTTTTTAAAATACTTAGTTACTTCAGTGAAATGTTATTACTAAAAATAATATATATAGAAAAAGAGATTGAAAGCAAATATAGCAAAATATTAGCAACTGGGAAATTTGGATAAAGGGTAAATTGGAGTTTTTGTATTTTCTTGCAGGTTTTCTTTAAGTTTGAAGTTATTTCAAGATTAAAAGTGGCAAAAGTTTCTTTTTTCACTATAATAAACATACTTGATTTACCTTGAGCACTAATAGCACTCTAAATTTTAGATTTTTAGCCTTTAAAATGTTTCTCATAGAATGAGGATTTTTGTCAATGGTTAGAATGAGTAACTTCTCAATGGTTTCTATTCACTGTGGGAAATGTTTTTGTAAATGGATACATTCATTTGAGCAGTGTTAAGTAGGAATTCTTTTACAAAAAGGCAGACTTCAGGAATAAATTTGTCTTTGTGGCTTCTTTCCCCTTGCAAATATTCTGTCAACAGAACATTTATTTATTCATTAAGTTTCACAACACATTGAGGCAGTTTTGGTATTTTGAAATGTTAGAACCAGAAGAAAACTAAATAGGTCATTAATATTTCACAGATAAAAATGACTTCCTGTGACTAGCTCAAGGTTGCAGTCTGGTTAACAAAGCCAGAACCAGGATCCAGGTCTTCTGATACCTATCCCAGGTTCTTCCCACAAACAAAGGAGTCACGTTGAGCAGAACCGGAGACCTAAAAAAAAAAAAAAAGGAATCTTTCATGAAGAAGAAAATGGTGCTCCATGTATTTGAAAGAAAGGAAGGAGAAAGAGAGGAAGGGAGGGAGAAAAATAGACAAAGACAATCTTTTCACATGAAAAGCCAGGAGAGCCAATGTAAGGTAGGAAAGAAGGAAACCGGAGAGAAGAGTAGCACTGAGGCAGGTGTCTGTGGAGAGGCAGAGACCCCAAGAGAAAGGATATGGTTCTAGAAGGTGGGGCAACTGGAAGAGAGAATATACCAAAAGCAGAGAAACCCAAATGTGTTTCTTCCAGGTTGGAATGGCCAGGCAGAGAGAGCATCTTTCCTGTAGCCTAAAGGACAGGGACTCTACCGTTTTTTCATCTTTGTTTCTCATCTACCCCTAAAAAACACATAGCCCCACAAATATCTGAAGAATTTCAGTATGTGGCATTTTCTATGATCAGTGGGTCAGCACCGAGATAGTACTGCAAAACTAGGTTAATTTCAAATACCGTTTCTTGATATAAAATCCATTCATCTTCATCCCATGATGTGAAATGGGTAGAAGCATTTTTAAAAAGTGGAGCCTTTTCACGAAGATGGCATCGAAAGTGAAGAAGAAAGCCCCTGCCCGTCCCAAAGCCATAGCTAAAGCAAAGGCTTTGAAGGCAAAGCAAGCAGTGGTGAAAGGTATTCATGGCTACACACAAAACAAGATCTGCACATCACCTGCCTGCCAACGGCCTGATACATTGCTGCCCCAAAGGCAGCCCAAGTAATCTCAGAAGAGTGCCCCCAGGAGAAGCCAGCTTGACCACTATGCCGTTATTAAGTCCCCCTGACCACCCAGTCAGCCATGAAGAAAATAGAAGTCAACAATACACTTGTGTTCACTGTGAGTGTCACAGTCAACAAGCACCAGATCAAACAGGTTGTGGAGCACAAATGGACCTGGAGAACATTATGCTATGGGAAATAAGCCAGTTGGAGAAAGACAAGCACCATATGATTTCACATATGTGGAATCTAATGAACAAAATTAACAAACGAACAAAACAGTGACAGACACATAGATAGAGAGCCAGCTGACAGCTCTTGTGGAGGAGCAGGGAGGATTAAGCAAAATAGAAAGAGGAAAACTCATGGACCTGGACAGTGTGATGATTGCTGGGGGCAGGGAGGTGGAGGAAGGTATAGGGGGCATAAGTGATGATGGATGGAGATTTGACTCTGGGTGGTGAGCACATAATAAATACAGTGTACAGAAGTATTTTCGAATTGTGCACCAGAAACCTGTATAATTTTGTTAACCAATGTCACTCCAATAAATTCAATAGAAAGGAAAAAAATACAGTCTGTGAAGAAGCTCTATGACATTGACCTGGCCAAGGTCAACACCCTAATCAAACCTGATGGAGAGGAGGTACATTTTCAACTGGCTTCCAACTAGGATGCTTTGGGTTGTGCTAATACAATTAGGATCATCTAAACTGTGTCTAGCTGGCTAATTCTAAATATAAAAATTTCTACTGTTAAAAAAAAAGTGGACTAAAACTTTAAAATAAGAGAGATACACATGGTTGGGGGCAGGGCAGCAGAGAATGACCAGTTTAGGAAGTGAAGTTTTTGAATTAGTCTAGGTGATGAGAGGAGGTCTCTGAAGACGTGAGGCATGAATGATGAAAATCGAACCTTGATTGTGTTACTCATCTGGGCTGAGGAATCTACGCTTAATGCTTCCCTGCCATGGAAGCTGGCAGCCTCTCTCAGCCTATGGTGACCACCTCTCCACTCTGCTGTGTGAGTCTGAGGACTCAATCTCAGATCTCACCTGGGATGCCACATTGACCCTTAGTATATGAGCTTGTTGTCTGAGCATTGGAGCGGTGGGGTGCACCTTCCATGAGCTTTCCTGCTAATGTGTCCTTTCACAACTCACACTCAAATTTCAATGAAAAACAAAGGAGGATTTGGTGCAGGATGAGATTTCCTAACATCCAAGTCATGATTTCCCTTGCCTCCTTGCAACCCTTTTTCAAAGGAGATCCAGGCCATCAGAACAGAGTAGGGATTAAGAATGCGAAACAGCTCAGCTTTACTGCAGTTAATAACTCCACCGATCTGCTTTAACTGATTTTATTTTTTTCAGGGTATTTATTTTATTTGTTTTGTTTTTAAATAAACATTTATTTACATTAATAAACTTTATATGTTAAGAGTAATTTTAAGTTCACAACAAAACTGAGCAAAAAGTAGAGAGTTCTCATATACCATGCCCCTCACTCACAACCTCCCCCACTATCAACAACCCACACTAGAGTGGCTCATTTGTTACAGCTGATCAGCCTACATTGACACATCATTATTTTTAATGTACGGGGAAAAGCAGAGGACTTTCTGGAGTGGTAGGTGAACTTGAATTCTTTACATATGCTTAAAAATAACTAAGCATTTTGAGATTATAACTGCTCTAAAAATATCTAATATATTGTTTTAGTCATGACCATTGTTTCCAGGTTCTTCATCTCTGCCCCATATGACCTGCCACAAAAGCATTCTGTGGATTTTGACACAGGCAAATAGAGATGACAAATGCATTGATTTAGACCTTAACCTCGTGAGCTTTCTGTATAAAACATGCAAAATCGCCTTTGAACTTTGCAGTTGCCATTTAAGCTATAACATGCTGTCAGCATAATGTGTCTAATAGTAAAGTAATTCTAGGTCTGCATACTTCTCCAAGGTTACCTTCAAATGAAAAAGCCATGAAACTTCAAGACATTCTTTCCATTTATTTTGTTTTTGTACTGGATAAGCTAAATGTCTTTCAAATGATTTACCTTTTAGACCAGGAGGTTCTGCCTCATTTTATGTATTAGATTTTGTTCTTTGTTTTTTAATTTTTTCTGGTGTCACCTTTGAAATGAGATTTCAGTTTCAGGAAGCTCCAATAGCAGTGATTAAAATGTTTGCTTATCAAATGCCCCATCTGCCATTGACTTAATTCCTCCATGAAGTTCCAGAAATAACTTCTCTTTCTCTGAACTCTTGGAGTCATGATGCATAGCATTTATCTGTCACATCTTACCTTGCATTTTGAATATGTATTTACTAAACTTATCAGTCAAGTTATATTTTAAACCCACTGAGGATAGGGAGTTTCTTTCAAACATCTATTTATCACCCAACACAGTCCCCTATTATAAGGTATTTAATGAATTTAAAAAATATAAATTATATAAAAATAAAATTAAAATTAAATGTATAAAGGCAAGGTAGCCTGTAATTTTGATCTGTGGGTGGAGCGGGACATTCTTCCTGAACCGGAGGCTGTCTGATACACTTCCCAGTACCAGCTGCTTTCTCACCTGAGAACCGATGAGTATCCTGCATGTAACCATTGCTACAAGTCACCGTTCAGATGTCATGTGTGTCCTCTCTTTTCTGGACTGTGAAGTAGCAACACGGGATGAAGGCAAAGTAATAGAAACAATAGATCATCACCTATGTCATTCTGGTACCATCATTGTACAGTAATTGGTGTTCATTGTTTTTTTATTTTATGTGTCTTATACTCAGTAGCAAATTATTATTAATGTTTCAGATATTTTTACTTTTATTAGATGGAGATTGTGGGCTCCATTTAGTACATGAGAAAATGGAAGCTTATAGAATATGAAAATACGAAAGGATTATATGGCTAGTTAAGTGGCAGAACCCATATATGAACCTGTTTGTTCTTGGTTCTGAATTCATTGGCTGTTCCTATGACCCACAGCTGTCCACTTTACTAACAATGTAAATGTTATCATGACCGAAACATTATTATGCAATGTTTGTGAGAGATTCATATCTGGAACTAGGTTTTTTAAAAAGTATAACCCTAAAATATACCTAATTAATATTCTATAAACTCTGGAACATAATTTTATTACTGCTCATCAACAACATATTCCCTTGTGTTTTAAAATCTTAAGATGTCTGCAATTCTGGTACAGAGACTAGAAACTTTTCATTGCTACCCTGAGAAGGAATCAGTGCTGACTTTAATGAACTAGAATTTCTGGGGAGAGAAAAATATGACACTGTCAGTTTAAGGGCAAGGTCAGAGGGAGTGATTTATTATAATATGTGTAAAATAGGATTTTAGGTCATTGCTCCAAAGCTACATATTATTCACAAATTTTTAAGTGAGTTTTAAAGTGGATTTTTCTGTATGTATCATGTCCTGTTATAGAATGAATATGTAAATGAGGATGTTGATGCCAGAATTATTGAATACGAAGATAACCGGCCCCTCCTAGATATGTTTCTGCAGAAGCCAATGGGTTTACTATCCCTACTCGATGAAGAAAGTCGATTTCCCAAGGCCACGGACCAGACTCTCATAGGTGAGTACATTCACATTTTCTGATACAGTAATCTCATTCTGAATGATTAACAAATAGATTTTTAGCTCTGCCTGGTGGCTCGGTTGGTTGGAGCATCGTCCATACACCTAAAGATTGTGGGTTTGATTCCCAGTCAGGGCTCATACCTGGGTTGTGGGCTCAATCCCCAGTCGTGGGATATGTGGGGGTGTGGGCAGCCTATGGATATTTCTCTCTCTCTGCTCCCTTCCTCTCTCTAAACATATCCTCGGGTGAGGATTGAAATAAATTAAAAGTTTTTAAGAGATTTTTATTTATTTATTTATTTATTTTGGTTTTTTTTGGTTTTTTTTTTATGAATTTTTATTTATTTTTTTGTTACAGATATTTTACCTTTTTACCCCATTGGCACCCCCCACCCTACCCCCCCTCCACCCTGTCCCCGGCTTAGTTGTCCATGTCCATTGGTCATGCATACCTGCATATAAGTTCTGTGGTTTATCTCTTCCAACCCCCCACCCCCCGTCCCCTCTTCTGAGGGATGTCAGTCTGTGCCCTACTTCCATGTGTCTGGGTCTACTGTATTCCTCAGACTGTTATGTTCATTATATTCCGTATATAAGTGAGATCATGTGGTATTTGTCTTTTTCTGCTTGGCTTCTTTCACTTAGGATAATACTTTCCAGGTCCCTCCATGTCATCTCAAAGGATAAAAGATCTTTCTTTCTTACCGCTGCATAGTACTCCATTGTGTATATGTACCACTGCTTTTTTATCCATTCGTCTACTGGTGGACACTTGGGCTGTTTCCAGATCTTAGCTATTGTAAATAGTGTTGCTATGAACATGCGGGTACATATATTCTTCCTGATTGGTGTTTCAGGCTTCTTAGGGTATATTCCCAGCAGTGGGATCACTGGGTCAAATGGAAGTTCAATTTTTAATTTTTTGAGGTAGCACCATATTGTTTTCCATAGCGGCTCCACCAGTCTGCATTCCCACCAGCAGTGTATTAGAGTCCCCTTTTCTCCACACCCTCGCCAACACTTGTTGTTTGATGATTTGTTGATGGCGGCCATTCTGACAGGTGTGAGGTGATACCTCATTGTTGTTTTAATTTGCATCTCTCTGATGATATGATTTGTTGATGGCGGCCATTCTGACAGGTGTGAGGTGATACCTCATTGTTGTTTTAATTTGCATCTCTCTGATGATTAGTGATGTTGAGCATTTCTTCATATGTCTCTTGGCCATTTGTATGTCCTGTTTGGAGAGGTGTCTATTCAGCTCCTCTGCCCATTTTTTAATTGGGTTCTTTGTCTTCCTTTTGTGGAGTTGTATGAGCACTCTATATATATTGGAAATTAACCCCTTATCTGATACATCATTGGCAATGATGTTCTCCCATACAGTGGGTTGCCTTTCCATTTTGATGACTGTTTCTTTTGCTGTGCAGAAGCTTTTTAGTTTGATGTAGTCCCATGTGTTCATTTTCTCCTTTATTTCTGTTGCCTTAGGTGATGTATCAGTGAAAATTCTGCTCCGTATGATGTCCAAAAGTTTGTTGCCTACATTTTCTTCTAGAATTTTTATGGAGTCACGGTCACATTTAAGTCTTTTATCCATTTTGAGTTTATTTTTGTGTATGGTGTAAGTTGATGGTCTAGTTTCATTTTTTTGCATGTAGCTGTCCAATTTTCCCAACACCATTTATTAAAGAGGCTGTCTTTACTCCACTGTGTGCTCTTGCCACCTTTGTCAAATATTAATTGAGCGTATTGCCTTGGGTCCATTTCTGGGTTTTCAGTTCTGTTCCACTGGTCTATATGCCTGTTCTTGTGCCAGTACCAGGCTGTTTTGGTTACAGTCGCTTTGTAGTATAACCTGATATCTGGTATTGTGATCCCACCTACTTTGTTCTTCTTTTTCAAGATTGCTGTGGCTATTCGGGGTCTTTTTTGGTTCCATATGAACTTTTGAAGTATTTGTTCTAGTTCTATGAAATATGTCGTTGGTATTTTGATGGGGATTGCATTGAATCTATAGATTGCTTTGGGTAGTATGGACATTTTAATGATGTTAATTCTTCCAATCCATGAACAGGGTATGTGCTTCCACTTTTTTATATCTTCCTCTATTTCTTTTTTCAATGACCTGTAGTTTTCTGCAAATAGGTCCTTTACTTCTTTGGTTGTTTATTCCTAGGTATCGTAATTTTTTTGGCGCAATGGTAAATGGGATTGTTTTTTCAGTTTCTCTTTCTGTGAGTTCATCATTGATGTACAAGAATGCTGTCGATTTCTTGACGTTAATTTTGTATCCTGCTACTTTGCCAAATTCGTTTATTAAGTCTAATAGATTTTTGATGGAGTCTTTAGGGTTTTCTATGTACAATATCATGTCATCTGCAAATAATGACAGTTTCACTTCCTCCTTTCCAATTTGGATCCCTTTTATTTTTTCTTCATGTCTGATTGCTGTGGCTAAGACTTCCAGTACAATGTTAAATAAGAGTGGCGAAAGTGGACATCCCTGTCATGTTCCTGTTCTTAATGGAAATGTTTTTAGTTTCTGTCCATTGAGTATGATGTTGGCTGTAGGTCTTTCATATATGGCCTTTATTATGTCGAGATATGATCCCTCTATTCCTACATTGCTGAGCGTTTTTATCAGAAATGGATGCTGGATTTTGTCGAATGCTTTTTCAGCATCTATTGGTATGATCATGTGGTTTTTATTCTTCATTTTGTTTATGTGGTGTATCACGTTTATTGATTTGCGAATATTGTACCAGCCTTGCATCCCTGGAATGAATCCCACTTGGTCATGGTGAATAATTTTTTTGATGTACTTCTGGATCCGATTTGCTAATATTTTGTTCAGGATTTTGGCGTCTATGTTCATCAGGGATATTGGCCTGTAGTTTTCTTTCTTCGTAGTGTCTTTTTCTGGTTTTGGAATTAGAATTCTGCTGGCCTCATAGAACGTGTTTGGAAGTCTTCCTTCTTCTTGAATTTTTTGAAATAGTTTGAGGAGAATGGGTGTTAGTTCTTTTTGGAATGTTCGGTAAAACTCCCCCGTGAAACCATCTGGGCCTGGGCTTTTGTTTGCTGGGAGAGTCTTGATTACCTAAGAGATTTTTATTTATTTGGGAGAAAATATTTGTCACAAAGCCTGCGTATGGGACTTTAAAGAGGCTTTGGGTCTTAGCTGGACCAGTGAATGTTTATAATGGGGTGAGATATTTTGTGAAAAATTAAACAAGTTTAGTCATTGGACTTCTCCTTACTTTGTGATAGAACCTCAACCATAGGATCTTATGTTAGAAATGACCTTAGAAATTATCCAACCCAAATTAGAAATTGGAGGGCAGGGCAAAAGGATAGTCCTGGGATTTGAAAAGAGTTAGCTAATGGGGAGGAAATAGATTCATCTGTGATGTTCTGGTCATTTACCTACCAAAAGCAACCAGCCTCAAATGCTATTTTAGTACATTATGCTAAGTTATAGTACATTAATATAAACCTGAGTCATCAAAAATATTAAACATTGTTTGTTTGTTTGTTTGAGAAGGCAGAGATATGTATACGCCATTGGAAAGATTATCATCTAAAATGGTTAAAATAAATGTCCTACTCCCTAAATAAAATTAAAAACCTCTAGATTTTTCAACTATCTGAAAAAAATATTTTCCTTAATGTGGAACATTATACTCCCTGATGGTAGGAGACATTCATTATATATAGTCAATACTTGCAAAAAATGTAGCTTCACATTTTCTCTCATTTACCTTGAGTGATATTTTGGTCTGTTTCTTACCATTAAGTCAGTGGTGTTGCTTCCTTCTTACTCACGGATTGGTTTATTCTCGCCTCTAATTGCACAATAATAATGGAAAAGAAAATAAACCCAAAATTATCTGGAAATCATTTTATAGCAGTCACTCGATTTTGATGTTAAAATGTTCCTTCTAGAACATGGAGTAAAAAGTTCTCCGAGGGTAGTATAATTGTTACAGAAAAGTAACTGCTTTTGTGGTACTATTGTGTGTCCTGTGCAATCAATAATAACACATAATTCCTCTAATAGAAAGGAGAGCCAAACACCCACTTTCTAGGCACGGGGCTTTGCTTCAGACTGTGCTTCACAAACCTCTTTGCTCAGTCAGTGTCCAGTAGTTCCCTTCCTGTACCAGTGGTTTTCAAAATGTGGTCCCAGACAAGGAACATTAAAATCACCTAGGAACTTGCTAGAACTGTGACTTCTTGGATCCCATTCCAGATATACTGAGTCACAAACCCTGGGAGGAGGACCCAGAAATCTGTGTTTTAATTGGCCTTCCAGGGGACTCTGATGCTTGCTAAGGTTTGAGAACCACTGAATCATAATGGAAGAGTAAAATTCATGATCTCGAGTTTTGCCTTACCATTCATAATTATGTCCCAAATCTGCATATATTAGCTATGTAAAATCTTCTTTTTTTACCATACATTGTCCATTTTATGGAGAAAGATGACTCTGTCAATATGTATTTTTTAAGGATCCCCTACATGCTTGATATTGTTGTTCAATTTTTTTTTCCATAGAAAAATTTGAAGATAATCTGAAATCTCAGTACTTCTGGAGACCCAAGAGAATGGAACTCAGTTTTGGAATTCACCATTTTGCAGGAAAGGTAAGAATTTGAAAGAATTGTGACTGAGTTTCTCTTTAGTCAAGTAATAAGGGTAGACGTGAACATTATGGCTCAAAATATATATAGATGGTTATCATGAGATAGCCATCCATTTCTGCCCTCCCTGGCCCCGACTCTGCTCTCCAACTTCCTACAGTCTGTCCTGTCCTGTGCCAACCACTCCCATTCCAGGGCATCCATTTCTAGCATCTAACCTAAAAGGTAAAAAAAGAAAAAGAAAAGAAAAATCCTTCAACAAACACAAGGTAATGGACTTTCTACAGGAATTTGTATTAAGAAACTAAGGGAAAACAAGAAAGAAAAGAAAGGGACAAGTATTAAACAGTCCATCTTTCTCATCCTGACATCTGGCTTTGGGTAAGATTGGCTGGCAATGGGTTCCTATTATTTCCTTCCTTTACTGATAGCTGGAACCTTTATTATAAACTGCCTTTTTCAGACATTAGGTGCTTCTCTGTCCACCACAGCCTTTGTCTGTCCTCCCTCCCAACAGGAGAAGGTGCCATGCGGGAGGTATGGTCAGCTAACTGAGCTAACTTAGACGGATGGAATGGGCTCGTGGGCTGGTACGCAGTCAGAGGAAGAAATGTTTATTCATCGAGAGATACACACTCCCACACCAAAGCAAACCTCAGCACCTACAGGATGTTTTCTGTCCCTTCTGCAAAGAAGAACAGGTCATTCTCTCATAATGATGTTAGAAATATTGGAGAACTAAGAAGGTATTAAAACCAAGGGAAAAGTGCAATGAATTAAAAATACATAAACAAAACAATTCAGAGCCTTGAGCACTCTAGTTTACTAGAACTGTATTCCACAAACTTCAATATTCCACAGACTTGTCTCTGAAAAGAAATCTACCTTAAACATTATAGTTATAGCCTCTCATGGTTTTTAGCATCTGATTTTTCAAATAAACCTCCTTTAAAGCACCCATTAAGAATTGCTATGAGCATTTTCTCCAGGTCTTAATAACTGTATCAGTTTTCTTGGATTGCCATAACAAAACGACCACAGGCAGGGTGGCTTAAACAGTAGAAATTTATCTTCTCAGAGTTCTGGAGGCTAAAAGTTCAAGATTAAGGTGCCAGCAGGGTTGGTGTCTGGTGAGGCCTTTCTCCCTGGCTTACAGACAACTGTTTTTTGCTTTGTCCTCTTACATTTTTTACTCTGTGAACGTGTGGGGGGAAGGAGATACATCTTTGGTGTATCTTCCTCATCGTACGACATCAGTCCTGAAGGATTAGGACCCCACCCTTACAACCTCATTTAATCTTAATTACTTCCTTCAAGACCCTCTCTCCAAATACAGTCACATTTGAGGTTAAGGATTAAACATAATAATTTTAGAGGAACACAATTCAGTCCATAACAATAACCTTATTGGACCATCCTACAGAGATCTTTGGGTTGCACTGATTTTAGAAAGTCTTGACATTATTTAGTAGTGCCAGAAATGCAAACACAGTGAACCTGGACCATACTTAACTACCGAGAAAAAAAATCTCTAATGGCCATTTCACTGCAGTGACTCACTTATCACAGAAATGAGAATGCCTGTGTGGCCCCAGCATTCATGCCACCTCCGGAAATACACCAAATTTCTAAAATAGTAGATGGGAGAAACCAAGCTTCTTTCATCATTTAAACCCAAGTAAAATCAGTGAGACAATTTTCCCTGACAAGATTTCCTGTAAACCTGGAGAGGTTTGCTTTTCCGACCAAGTTGGAAGGGGCTACCATTATACATCTTTGTATACCTGTCGCTCAGCTGGAGTAAGCTCTCAATAAAGCCTCTACTGATGAGGATGATGATGATGATGACAGTGACACTGATCTTGATGACAATGATAATATGCTTTATCAACAGGTCCTCTATAATGCAAGTGGGTTCCTAGCTAAAAATAGAGACACTCTTCCAGCTGATATTGTGCTGCTTTTGAGGTCATCAGAAAACAGTGTGATTCGACAACTTGTTAACCACCCTCTGACAAAAACAGGTAGGACAACTTCCTTTAAATGAAAATGTTTTTCAGGTCTGATCAAATAGTTTCTGATTGTGATTTTCATGAGTGTGATCCTCAATTTTTCATGTCGGTTTGTTTTCGGCTCACTAAATATGCAATTTGTAATGTCTTCTGCCTAGATCATCTGAAGAAAATAATAAAACATAAAGAAGGTAGGTTTTCATTCAAGAAAGTGAAGCACTCCCCAGAGAATATGGTGGTGTCCTAGCTACTCATTAGAAGATGCTCACCTTCAGAGAGTTCAGAATTGCCCACTGTTTCAGAGTGGGAAGGATTTGGATGGTTCTTTGAGGTTCTACAGGATTAGTGAGCTCTGCCTCATTGATTAAAAACTCACATGATCTTGTTTTATTCAACCATATACATTCTTGAATTTGCTTTTTTTATCCTCACTCGAGGACATTTTTTCCTTTTTTTTTTTTTTATCCTCACCAGAGGACATTTTTTTGATATTTTGTTCAGATAGAGTGGGAGGGAGAGAGTGAGAGAAACATCAATGTGAAAGGGACACATCGAGTGGTTGCCACCCACACAACCCAATCAGTGCTGAGGACAAACTGCAACCGAGGTATGTGCCCTTAGCGGGAACTGAACCCAGGTCTCTCTGGACCACAGGCTAATGCTCTAACTGCTGAACCAAACCAGCCAGGGCACATTTTTTTCATTTTTTTGTTCAGGTAGAATGGGAGGGAGAGAGAGGAAGAGAGAGAAAAACATCGATGTGAAAGGGACACATCGAGTGGCTGCTACTCACAGGACCAACCAGGGCCGGGGACAAACTGCAACTGAGGTACATGCCCTCTGCAGGAACTGAACCCGGGTCTCTCTAGACAGCAGGCTGATGCTCTAACCACTTAGCAAAACCGGCCAGGGCAGGATTTGCTTTTAAGTAGCAAAAAAAAAATGTAGTTCAGGTTGTTTTTCTTTATTGGAGTTTAAAATTGTTCTTTTCATTTTTATAGTTTTGTTGAGGCATAACTGACATAAACAGCACATATTTAGTAAAATTTGATGAGTTTTCAACATACATAAATACCTTTAAAACCATCACCATAATCAGTAAACTTACTGATCACCCCAGATGATGTTTCCTCATGACCCTTTGTCATCCTTTCTCCTACTCCTCCCTACCCCTAACCCACTGTTCTAGCATTTGAGATATTCTTTCCCCGTTTAATTCATTTTGCACTCATGTTTAAAATCAACTGACTTTATATGCATAGGTCTACTTCTAGGCTCTGCTGCGTGTTACTGATATTTGTCTTATCTTTCTGCCAGTACCATACTTCTTAATTATAGTAACTTTATAAGAAACCTTGGAATCTGAAGTATGTTACTGAACTTCATTCTTTTTCAGAGTTGCTTAGGCAATCATAATACCTTTGCTTTTCCACTTATCTTTTAGAATGAGTTTGTCAGCTTCTAACAAAAATACTAGTGAGACTTTGGGATACACTGAAGCTATTACATTAATTTTAGAATAAATGATATTATCACAATATTGACTCATCCAATCAGGGAGAACAGTATAGCTTTCCACTTATTTAAGTCTTTCTTAATTTCCCTCAGCAATTTTATGTGGTTTTCAGAGTATGAATTTTGGACATTTTTGTCAAATTATCTGCTAGTATATATTTAAGGTATTATAAATAGTAATTTTTAATTCAAGTTCTGTGTGTTGCTAGTATATAGAAATCCAATTAATTTTTGTGTATTAATCTTTTTCCCTGCAATGTTGCTTAATTTATTTGTTTATTGTTTCTTTTCTTTTGTTTGGGTAGTTTCTATAGGATATTCTACATAGATTGTCATGTCATTTATGAATAAATTTTTCCCTTTCTATTCCATTCTGTTTACTTTTTATTTCTTTATCTTGCCTGGTTGTACTGGCTAGAATCACAATGCTATACTGAATAAAAATGGCAACAATGAACAATGGATTCTTGCCTCATTCCTGATCTTGGGGCAAAAGCATTCCATTTTTATCCCCATTAAGGTTGATGTTAGCTGTAGGTTTCTCATAGATGTTCTTTATCAGGAAGAACTGAGTTTCTAGTCCTAGTCTGCTGGGTTTTCATCAGTCATGCATGTTTGACTTTTGTCAAATTATTTTCCTGCATCTAAGCTATTTTTCTTGTTTGTTTTTAATCTGTAAATATGGTAAATTGCATCAATTGATTTTTTAAATGTTATACCAACATTTTATTCCTAGGAAAAACCACACATGGTCATGATGCATTGGGTGTTTAATGTATTGCCTGATTCAGTTTGCTAACATTTTGTTAAAAATTTTCATATTTATGTTCATGGATATCGGACTGTGGATTTCTTTTACTCTAATTATTTTTTTCTGATTTTGAAATCAGTGTAGTACTGGCCTCACAGAGTGAACTGAGATGTTTTGCCTCCTCTTCAATTTTTAGGGAAAGTAAAATGAGTATTATTTCTTTCTAAATTGCTTTATAGAATTTACCTGTGAAAACTTCTGGGCATGATGAGCTTTTTGTGAAAAGGTTTTTGATTACAAATGAAATTTCTTCAATAAATACAACACTATTTAAGTAATCAAATTTTCTAAATAAGATTTAGTACCTTGTATCTTTTAGGAAATTTGTCTTTTTCATCTGTGTAATCAAATTTATTGACATAAAGTTGATTATATTATTTCCTTATTATCCTTGTTTTTATTAATTAATTTAAATTTTTTTCTTTATTGATTTGAGAGAGAGAGGAAGAGAGATATAGAAACATCTATGAGAGAGAACATTGATGGACCTCCTTCTGCATGCCCCTTACCAGGGATCAGGTCCACAACCTAGGCATGTGCCTTGACTGGGAATTGAACCAGCAACCTTCTGGTGCATGGGTCGACACTCAACCGCTGAACCACACCAGCGGGACATTTAATTAATTTATTTTTGTTACACATTTCTCCTTTTTCTCCCATTGACACCCTCAACCCCCATTCACTCCCCCATACCCGTTCACAATATTGTAGTCTTTGTCCATTGCTTATGCATATATGCATATAAATTCTTTGCTTTATCTCTTTCCTCCCCAGTCCCCCTGAGGTTTGTCAGTCTAATTTTTACTTCTATGTCTCTGGGTCTGTTTTGTTCATTAGCTTATTTTGTTCATTATATTCCACAAATAAGTGAGATCATGTGATACTTGTCTTTCTCTGACTGGGTTATTTCTCTCAGCATAATATGCCACAGGTGCATCCATGTTGTCTCAAAGGATAAGAGATCTTTCTTACAGCTGCATAGTATTCCATTTATATGTACCACAGCTTTTTTATCCACTCATCTATGGATGGACACTTGGGCTGTTTCCAGATCTTAGTGATTGTAAATAGTGCTGCTATGAACATAGGGGTACATACGTTCTTTCTGATTGGTGTTTCAGGCTTCTTAGGATATATTCCTAGAAGTGAGATCACTGGGTCAAATGGCAGTTCAATTTTTAATTTTTTGAGGAAACACCATATTGTTTTGCATAGTGGATGCACCAGTCTGCATTCCCACCAGCAGTGTACTAGAGTCCTCTTTTCTCCACACCCTCGCCAACACTTGTTATTTTATGATTTGTTGATGGCAGCCATTCTGGCAGGTGTGATGTGATACCTCACAGTTGTTTTAATTTGCATCTCTCTGATGATTAGTGACATTGAGCATTTTTTCATATGTCTCTTGGCCATTTGTCTCTTGATCCTGTTTGGAGCAGTGTTTATTTAGGTTCTCTGCCCATTTTTTGATTGGGTTCTTTATCTTCCTTTTGTTGAGTTGTATGAGTACTCCATATACTTTGGAAAATAATCCATTATTAGATGTATCTTTGGCAATTATGTTCTCCCATGAAGTGGGTTCCCTTTCCATTTTGATTCTTCTTTCTTTTTCTGTGAAGAAGCTTTTTAGTTTGATGTAGTTCTATTTACTCATTTTTCCCTTTGTTTTTCTCGCCTTAGGCATTGTATCAGTGAAAATCCTCCTGCGTGTGATGTCTGAGATTTCCCTGCCTACATTTTCTTCTAAGATTTTTATGGGTTTATGAGTCACATTTATGTCTTTTATTCATTTTGAGTTTATTCTTGTGTATGGTGTAAGTTGGTGGTCTAGTTTCATTTTTTTGCATGCAGCTGACCAATTTTCCCAGCACCATGTATTAAAGAGACAGTCTTAAATTCATTGTATGCTTTTGCCACCTTTGTCAAATATTAATTGAGTATAATGTCTTAGGTCAATTTCTGTGTTCTCTGTTCTGTGCCATTGATCTATATGCCTGTTCTTGTGCCAGTACCAGGCTGTTTTGATTACAATGACTTTGTAATATAACCTGATATCTGGTATTGTGATCCCTCCTATTTTGTTCTTCTTTTTCAAGATTGCTGTGGCTATTTTGTGTCTTTTTTGGTTCCATATAAACTTTTGGAGTATTTATTCCAGTTCTGGGAAGTATGTCAATGGTATTTTAATGAGGATTGCATTGAATCTATAGGTTGCATTGGGTAGTATGGACATTTTAATGATGTTAATTCTTACAAACCATGAACAAGTATATGCTTCTACTTTTTTATATCTTCCTCTATTTCTTTTTTCAATATCCTGTAGTTTTCTGTGAATAGGTTCTTTACTTCTTTTGTCAAGTTTATTCCAAGGTATCTTAAGGTTTTGTTTTTTTCTGCTGCAGTGGTAAAAGGGATTTTTTTTAAGTTTCTGTGTATTCATTATTGGTGTATAAAAATGCTGTTGATTTCTTGATGCTAATTTTGTATCCTGCAACTTTGCCAAATTCATTTATTAAATCTAGTAAATTTTTGATGGGTTCCTTAGGGTTTTCTACGTATAATATCATGTCATCTGCAAATAATGACAGTTTCACTGCCTCATTTCCAATTTGGGTCCTTTTATTTTTTTTCTTCTTGTCTGATTGCTGTGGCTAAGACTCCAGAACCATGTTAAATAAGAGTGGCA